CAAGCCACACAACTAAATGGGGGCAGAATTGGAGGTAGAGGCCAGCTTATTTCTCTGTGGCACTGCAGCATGCCACATTCTTTAAAGGGGCAGCTTTCTCTTCTCCTTGCCCTTATTTGGCTGAGTTTAAAAGGAATTGTGCATTCAGAGTCCACAGGTACACAGGACAGGGCAGTTTAAAACTAACTAGCAGACAGACCCTCTGGTGGAAGTCACTCTCGACTGTGTGTTGAACACAGTCACCTAAATTAAAAATACGGGCAAGGACTGGCTGGGTGCCGCAAGCCCAGGAGCAGGAGGTTGCTGGGGGGTACAGATCAAGAGCAGGCTCCATCTGCCTTAATTTAGTGTCTTGGGTCAAGGGCCAAGGATAGTCCGAAGTAGCAGCAAACATGAATACTAGACTGTGGTTAGAGAAATAGACTTTTAGAATGCTCAAGTACCCTCGGTTTACAGCAAGATGTTCAGAGGTCCTGCTTTAATGAGGAGATGATCATGCAAATGGGAGCTACTAAGACGCATGGAACAGATTGCTCTTTGGGAAATTACCCTTGCCCCCCACTATCTTGTTTTCTGTCATTTATTTGCCTAACCATCTCGACAGAGATGCAGGGCAGATGTTACTCCCAGCGCCCAGTTGGTAGTGCAGATTCTGAATGTAGCAGGACCTCTGTCCCCATTTCTCTGAACTGCTTCTCTGTCTGTATCTAGTAGATTAGTTCCTTCTGAGGAACAATGTTTTTCCACCAAAAAAGCCGCCTGCTTTGAACCATACTTGAAAAGAAACTTTCAAAGGCGGCACCAGCCTCCTTGAACACCTTTTCCAAAGTGCTTTCCAAAGGGAGCCGTCTTCCCACCTCCCACCACGTCTCAGGTTCGCTTCTGAAGACCCAGCTCAAAAGCAGTGGCTTTGTGGGACCGGGATGGAGGGAAGGATGGAGGTCGGCCTCTGGAAACTACAGCCGGCTTATTGATAACAACGGATTGTGCCGAGTTGCCAAAAGGAATTTTCCAACGTATGATCGAGTTCCAGTTTGTGATTTGTGACCTGTCCCAATTGTTGAAGTCACACTTCAACAATTTTTTTTTTCCCTTTTTTGGAACTGATGTTTAGAGCTTGTTTGAGTTGGATCCAATGCTGTTTTAACAGCTGTTCTAATCAGAAGTGCTGTCAATTATTAACCTTAATGGTGGTTTTTCTTTTAAAAATATTTCTCTAAGCTCTCTTGAAATGTCAAAATTCGGCTTCTTGGTAAGAAGTCATTGAGTGAAGTCACTTAATAGCTGGGCATCAGTTTCCCCATCTGAAAAGTAGAGATGTTGACAAGCGCCTTCTCTGTGGGGTTATTGTGGATGCACACATGGCAAGTTGGGTGGGCGATGTCAGCGGCCATTACTGTTGTTAGGAGGGCTTCTGTTAAGCCAGCTTTTCCTTTCCAGGAACTTCCCCTCCCCCAAGCGCCACCCTCCAAAAAATAAACATGTCTTAAAAATGTTGAGCAGACAGCTTTCCTGTTCATGCTTTGACTCTGCAGAGTACACGCAGACCATTCTCAGGGTTGGGCAGCCTTTGTAGAGATGGGGGAGGACCAATCCCTGCTTCTACTTTGTGGGGAGACCCCAAGAGGGTACTAGGAGATGATGGCACAGTGACAGCTGGGAGGGATGGGATGTGCTTGCTTCACACCTCTTTCCCAAGGGAGGGGCTGGATTTATGTTAGGACAACTTTTACCATGAACCAGGAGGTTCTCCCAACGTAAACCCAGCCCCTCCCCTCTGTCTGCCTCAACCCTACAGAGTCCTGTCTTGTGACGTGCCAAAGGCCTTCCTGCCATGCAGAGAGGCCTCTCTTCATGGAACGTGGGCCTCAGGAAACACAGCCTGAACGCCACTACCCCAGGCTCGTGGAAGGTTCTGAATCTGTGTGGCGTTGTTGTGATAGCCCTCAGTTGATGCTTGTTTGTGGTGCTGGGAGGCAGGAACTACTTTAGAAGGGTGGAGGGGTGAGAATGAGAGAGAACTTGGCCTGAGCCACCCAGCTGTGGTCACCTGGTGGCCCAGATGGCTACATAAATCCTGGGAGATCCCTTGTCCTCATAACCAGAGTGAGCTGGGCTCCAGACCAGCCCTATGGGAAGATCCTGTCTGTGGGAAGCCTTTGGCCATGTGTTTGCTGAAGGGTGTGGGGAAGGGCAAGGTCAGCTACTTTTCTTTTTTGTCAACTCCCAAGACCCTGACCCTTGGCCTGTTTGCCAGTGGAAGGAGGCCACAGTCAGAACCTTTTTATAATCACCCTGCCCTCCCAAAGACTGTGAAAGTTAATGGTTGCTGAGGAGGCCAGAGTGACTGGGGCTGTTCTGAACTTGCCCCCTGCCTTCCTGGCCATGGGGAGGGGCAGTGGCCAGAGACCCATCTAGGTGGCTTGCGATTGGCCTGGCTTGGAGGTGCCGCCCCACACCATTGGTGAAGGGCTTGGGCCACTGGCTACCCACCAGCCAGTTGTATGTCAACACTCCATCCACCACGGCCCCTCCCACGGATGCTGCCCACGCTGGGGCAGGCCCAGATCCACAGCCAGGGGTCACTGCAATATGAAGTCTCAATAAATGCGTAGATGCCAGTGATACTATTCGTTCGGCCAAACATTTATGGAGCACTTACTGTGTGCCAGGCACTGTTCTATCATTGTTTGAGATAACGGGCCTTGGACCTGTGAGCTTCCTGAACAGTCAGGTTGGTTTCTTTTGTTTACTTTTGTTTGCTTTTTATTTTTACATATCTTTCTATTCTTATTTGGCATGGGAACGCAAAGGTGAGCGAACTTGTTACTCTGTGCAGGTTTGGAGTGAGGTGCAGCCTATGCTTGTTTCTAGAACTCCTGCCCTATCCAACCCGGACTTTTTTGCTTCATTGAACCCCATTCCTACTATCAGTTGATTTAGGTGGGGAAAAAATAAGCAGAGTGAGGATGGACTCTGTTTGGGAGAGTTCTTCCCACTTAACTAGATTAATAATTTATATAATGATTATTTAGTAATCCTCCTGGGTTCCTTAGAGTATGAATGGCGGGTGTCTAGGAGGCGGAGAAGCCAGGGATGCTGTTAAAAGCCCTACAGTGCACAGAACAGCTCTACACAGCAGTGAATTATCTAACCTCAGATGTCAATAGCATGGCGTTTGAGGAAGCCTGATGTATGGTGTCCTGGCTAGAGTGCCCCACACATGTGTCAATGTGAAGTCCCAGTGGGTCTGAGCTGGGCAGTTCGGAAGTGGGGGCCATTGTTGACACAGTTGGCCTGGGATGTGAGTGACAGTCCTTCATCACAGGAATTGTCTCTCCCCAAATGCCAACAGTGGTGCCGGCTGGGAAACACTGACTCTGTTCCTGAGGAGCTGGAGTGTTCCAGGCAGAAAGCTGACAGCAGTGATTCCTGATCCTCTCCCCACCAGGATCCCCCACTGTAGCGGACAGGCTCTGTAGGTTGGCGAGCCCTGCCACCATGGCTGGCAGCCCAGCACGCAGGCCTGCAAAAGCCCATAAGGCTCTTTAGTTGATGGCTTGCCTTTCCACAAACCAGAGATGTCCTCTTTAGTGGCCAAGGGTGGAGGGGGTGGAGGGTGTTAGCCCCAGGAATTCTCCTGAAGTCCAGGGTCTATTTGTGCGCCTTCAGATTGTTTTTATTTTAAGTGCACAAGGATTTCTCATCCAGAATCATTTGACATGCAGATACTCACAGATTTTTAAAGGCTGTTGTCATGGTTTTGTCTCTGAAAGATTGCTATGTGCTGATGAGAGCTTTGAAGCCAGCTTTGGGACCTTAGTCCTGGCGGGCTCAGGATTCAGAATGAGATAAGAAAAGCAATTCTGAGAGTCATCTGTCAGTGGTTCTAGGCCTTTCTATCTGGACTCAGTTAACCCTTATAGCACCACTCTTGATCTGAGATCTAAAGTTTACATAGGATGCTGGTGGAAACTGTTGACTTTCTAAATGCAGTCTTTTCTGGGGTGTTGGGAGATGAGGCAGAGAATTGATCTGCCTTTCTAAGATTGACTTCTGTGAGGGATTAGGGATCTAATGAATTACGTCTCTGAGCAGCTTCTTAGACAAGGCAATGCTGTATCCTAAAAAATGAAGTGTTGGCCGGGTGCGGTGGCTCATTGCCTGTAGTCCCAGCACTTTAGGAGGCCAAGGTGGGCAGATCACTTGAGCCCAGGAGTTTGAAACCAGCCTGGACAACATGGCAAAACCGAGTCTCTACAAAAATACAAAAATTAGCTGGGCATGGCGGTGCACCTGTAGTCCCAGATATTTGGGAGGCTGAGGTGAGAGAATCACTTGAGCGCAGGAAGTCGAGGCTGCAGTGAGCCAAAATCGTACCACTGCACACCAGCCTGGGTGACAGTGAGACCGTGTCTCACTGGAAAAAAAAAAAAAGAAGAAGGTTTAATGGTAGGATTTTAGGCTGGTAGCATATATATGGGGTATGGATTGATCTTGGTGAGGGTCAGGCTAGTCCCAGGGAACCCTTTGCCACATAGGACCACTTATCAGCTCTGTCCCATTTGTCTCAGAGCTCGTGTCCTATTGGCACTGGGCACCAGCGGGCAGAGCAGTTCCTCTCTCACTAAACTGTGTTTCACTCTTATAATGGATTTTGCTGGGTTGTTGGGGGTGATTTTTATTTCATTTTGCTTTAATTAGGGATCCCATCCAGAGGATGCAAACTATATTCTGATCCAGACATATATACCACCTCTGATGGAAATTGGAGCTCCCCAAAATGTAGGCAGCCTGGCTGTGAGGGAGTTGAAAGAGATTTCTTCATGCTGTGGATTTAGCTAGAGCCTCCTGGCAGGAGGCAGACTGAGGGCAGAAAGGATGGAGCCCCATGGAGAGGGGCTGTGGTTTGGGGGGGAGTTTGCATTTCCACTTGTCTGTGACATTTCAGTGACTTAATTTATTTGCCTGAGCTTCATGTGGTCTCCTTGCCTTTGCAGACGGAGATTGCGAAGAGACTGAATACAATTTTAGCACAGATCATGCCTTTCCTGTCACAAGAGGTAAGACCTTCTTTTATTATTGCTTCCTTTTCTTTCCAAATCAGCCCAGCGGCTGGTGGGGTCTCACTGGAGCCTGAGCCCCAGCCCTAGCCCCAGCCTCAGCCCCTGTCCATTCATACTGACTGAGCTGACAACCTGGAGATTTCCAGAGCCTTCTCCGGCCAGTCTGAAGGCAGGGGGCCGTATCAGAGGGACCATTTGCTCCTTCTTCTGATAGAATTGTTTCTCTACCATTGCCTGAGTCCAGAGATGGGGGTTCTGGCGTGCGACCTAACCATCAGTGGGCAGTGGGTGCCTGTTTCCCATCCAAACTAGCATCCTCAGCCCAAAGGGGACCTTAGTTCCTGGTACAGAGTGTCCTTGCTGGGAGCATGACCAGGTGGTCATGCCACCTTCTAAGCCTGCCTTCCAAGGGACCTCCATTTGGGACAGCGGCTAGACTAGTGCCTGATTTGAGATAAATGCCTCCAAAGAAGTCCCCTGGTGCCGACCAGACAGATGGGCCGACTTTAGCAGGCTCTGTTTCTGTCCCGATTTCACTCCAGCCAGGGCAGGCCCTGCCCTCTACTCCCACTCAGTGGCTGGGACCGTGTCAGCTCCATCACGGACTCCTGGGTCTTGGACACAGAGTGGTGACCAATAAATGATTGAATTAATATGTAAGAATCAGATACGACAATGCCCTCGGAGCTTGCAGCCCAGTAGGGGAGAAAGCTGTGTATGTGGCTGGTACTACCTCAAGGCCAAAGGGAATTAATGCAACCACTTTTTAAAATAGACTTTATTTTTTTAAGAGCAGTTTTAGCTTCACAGAGATTTCCCATATCCTCCCCAACTATCAACATCCTCACCAGAGTAGTACATTTGTTGAAACTGATGAATCTACATTGACACATCATCACTCAAAGTCCGTGGTTTAAGTTAGGGTTTATTTTACCACTTTTTCTTTCTTTATCTGTTTATCTGGAAACATACTTTGTTTTCTCTCTATTTAAACAGATATGGGTAAGGTATATGTAGATACACTTTTTCCCCAAATCCTTTGAGTGTAAATTGCAGATATTCTGACAATTCACCACTAAAACTATAACTGCATCTCCTAAAAACAGGGATACCGTCCTTCATGATTACAGTATTGTTACCGTGTTTAGAAAACTAATAATCATCCTGTAATACCATCTGATATCCAGCTCATATGCAAATTGCATGGAAAAATTTGTGTGTGTATGATTGACTAATAGCCATCTTTTGGCATGCGTCTTTATTTTAAAACTTAAAAAGAAGTTTCAATTACAAAACTAATACATGCTCATTGACAAAGGTCTAAAAGAGAAAGGAAAATCGCCTGTCACCCTCCCCGCTGCTTGTGTCCTATGCCTGTTCAGTGGGGCTCCTCTGTCTGCTCTGGGCCTCTCCGAGAGTCCCTGCCAGTGCTGCACAGTCCGTCACCTCCTCTGTCCAGGAGAGTGGCTGCATCTAACGCACACCCTCTTCCCTCCAGCACCAGCAGCAGGTGGCGCAGGCAGTGGAACGCGCCAAGCAGGTCACCATGACGGAGCTGAACGCCATCATCGGGGTACGTGGACTCCCCAATCTGCCTCTTACCGTGTGTATAGCCCTTTTATTCCTCTCATTTATCATAACCAGAGATTGACCCTGACCTTAGCTGGCCTCAAAGAATGGCAGCCCCAGGGCTCCGGCTTCTACAAACACCCCAAGGGCTTGGACCCCTGTGGGACTGTTTCCCTATTGACTCCCAGTTGCCTCCTAGGCCTCAAACTAAAGGGGAGCCAGGCATGCCTCAAATCCACCTCTTCAGCCATCTGCCTCATCTTCCACTGGCTTTTGGTGTCCTTGCCATTGAGGAGGGTGGGGGCCTAGGGTCACCTTCAAGGCCAGGCCAACTGGCCAGTACCTGGCCACCTCCTCACACTTACCCCGGCGCCTGTCTGCCTCCTCCCTGGCAGAAGTCTGCCCTTCTTTGGCCGCTGGGATCAGAACAGTCTCTGCTGTACTGTTGATGTGCATCGTGCTGTGGAATTTGGGTTTACGTCTTGCTGTCCCATGTGCGAAGCTGCCTGGCTGAGCATTCATCACGTACGCTTGTGAACTCCAGCTGGGGAGCCTAGACCAGTTTTCCTGACTTTCTAGAAGTCCCATCTCCCCTTTACACAGGAAGACATACCCAAGAGTGCTCTGTGAGGCCCACTTCCGGACTGGCCCCTTAGTGGAAAGGGGAAGCTGGGTCTACCTGGCTTGTATCTTTAATGCATTTCTTAGGTTCAAGTGGCATCTTTCTCCTACTTGCTGCTTTGGTGTGAGGCTAGTGACATTTAAGATAAGCACCTGAGGAAGAAGAGTCTTTTAAGTGTGACTTTGGGCAAGGCTCTTACCCTTGGGGTGTACCTGTCCACCTTTCATCTCTAAAATGAAGCGGGTGGACGGGGTCACTGCTTCCCAGTCCACGGAGGAGCTTCTGGACAGTACAGATTCAGGGGCACTTGCACCAGAGGTCTTTTCCATATGTCTGGTGATCGGACTGGAAATCTGTGTTCCTAATGATTTCTAAATCATTCTGAAGTGTAGTTAGGCTTGGGAAGCAGTAGACTGATTCAACTCTAACATTCTGGAAACCTGGTTGGTCTTCTTTCCTCTTTCTGTTCTTATGGGAAGTCACTATTTCAAGGTGGAACTAAGGCCCTAGAATTTTCCTCTGCTTGATGGGATACATGATAACTCTTGACTTTTCTGCCTGGGGCAGAAACCTGGAGGTCTGTGTTTTAGTCATAGTTGTTCCCCCATGTGACCTTTGGCAAGTCCCTTCTCTTCCTTGGGCCTCAGTTCCTGTATCTGTAAAGGGAGAATGTACACCGGCTCATCTCTTTGGGCACTCCTGACTCCTACCAGGAATGCTGGGAGGCTGGAATCACAGAATGACACTTACGGGCACCGACCCCTCCATCACGCTGTCAGGACCCGTGATGGTTGCAGAGTCCTTTGGTGAAGGCAGCCCAGTGGGTTTGCCCTTCTGGGCTGATCCCATAGGGACACTTCTCATTGCTGCTTGGGCAGGTGGGGGTTGCAAGCATTGGCCTGGTTTGAATCCTGGCCTACTGTGTGGAATGGGCAGAGAGGAATCTTAAAACTGGAACATGAAGAAGTGTTCAGTGCTGGAAGGCAGCACCCCAAGAGGAGAAATCATGACATTTTAATGTTTGAAGTATCATCAGAGATCATCTAGCCCAGGGATCGTCAACCTTGACACTGTTGAAATTTGGGGCCAGATCATTCTTTGCCATCCTGTGCGTTGTAGGATGGTCAGCAGCATCCTTGGCCTGTAGCCACTAGATATCAATAACACCCCCGACACTTGTGACACCCCAAAACATCTCTAGATGTTGCCAAATATTTGTAGGAGGCAAAATGGCCCTTGGTTAAGAACCTCTGATCTAGCTCAATGCCCTGGTTTTACCGAGAGGGGAGGTGATTATGATGTTTAGGAGCAAAGCCAGACCAGAGGCCTGGGTGGCTGACTCGCAGCCCAGGACTCTTCCCCTGACTCTGGTGCAGCCCTGGAAGGTGGCCTGTGTCATCTGTCTCAGTGACCAGCTCTCAGCTTGGTGGTTCTTCTGCTAGTGGTGGCAGGGGACTGCAGGAGTAGGACATACCTTGTGAATTCTGTTTTCTGACACTTCTCTTCCAGCTCCTTACCCCTATCCCGTTTCCAACCATCTTCTTGAGGTTTCCAGGCCATCTCCTCCTACCCCTGCAGTGGCCACAGCAGGGTCCCCTCTCCCCCTCTGCCTCCCTCCCTCTTTGGGATTAAAATCCTCTTTTTTTTTTTTTTTGAGACGGAGTCTTGCTCTGTCGCCCAGGCTGGAGTGCAGTGGCCGGATCTCAGCTCACTGCAAGCTCCGCCTCCCGGGTTTACGCCATTCTCCTGCCTCAGCCTCCCAAGTAGCTGGGACTACAGGCGCTTGCCACCTCGCCCGGCTAGGTTTTTGTATTTCTTAGTAGAGACGGGGTTTCACCGTGTTAGCCAGGATGGTCTCGATCTCCTGACCTCATGATCTGCCCGTCTCGGCCTCCCAAAGTGCTGGGATTAAAATCCTGTTATGAAAATAATTTTTTTTTAAGTTTTCAGAAAGGAGTAAAATTGGGAGAGAAGCACTGCTTGGATTAGCTGTACTTCCTTTAAGTAGTATTTAGGAAGCTACAAGTTAGGTCGAGGCAGCTCGAGGCAGACATTGGAATTCAATTAAAGCCAACGAGTGGGGCCTGTGACCCCCATTTTCAAGGTAATTGCTTCTCCAGCTCTGAGTGAATGCAGCCATCGCCCTGTCATTAAGCAGGCAGCCGTCTAATCGCTGCGCCTGACAGAGCCTCACAAGGCAGGAATTACGGACAGCCGAGGCGTGCTCGCGCTGGGGAGCCGTGCTTGACTGCACTCCAGCGAAGGAGGCCGCTAATCTAGTCAGGGCGTTCTTTATCTCCTCCTCGAGGAGAGCAGAGAGCGAGCCTGCAGCTGAGCTGCCTCTGGGAAGCGAGGTGAAGAAGGATAACAGGGGATGCAGAGCCACCGGCTGAGCAAAAGGGCAGGCATCCTGGCCCCAGCAGGAAAGGGCAGGAGAAAGAGGGTCCCAGGAGGCTCTTGGCAGCTTCCAGTGGCTACCCCCACTGCACTGTTGGATTTGCTGCTCCGGAAGGAGACCCTGGTCTTGGACTTAGAGGAGGGCTTTGGGCAAGTCGCTTTGTTCCTCCAAGTCTCAGTTTTTCCATCTGCCCTACTTGTTTAGTGGCTTTCTTGCTCGTGGAGTTGAAAGATTCTGAGGTCGTGGCTCAGCTCAACTCAAAGAGAATATCAGATGCCTCTGGCATGGGCTGGGAGGTATCCAGTGGCGTATTTATCATGAGGATTAGCGTATTCCTGGGGTCTTCCTTCCTGGTGAGAAAGGGCGGGATCCAAGGTCAGGATGGTGTGTGTGAAAAGGGGAAGGAAAAACAGATACAGGGAACTGGGTTCTCGAGCCAAGCCTACCCACTCCCTGCTGGACCACAGGGAACTCAGGTGTCCACCGAGGGAAGAGAGGAAGAAGACTGTCTGTCTTCTAGCTGGGGCCTGGCGAGACTTGGTTACAGTAGCCCTGTTTCTTTTACATGCTTCTTGGATAAAATTAACAGGAGGGGCTTTAGAAGGACAAGATTCCTGAGCGCGAGGAGGGAAATTTGACCCTTGGTCAGCAACTTGCAGAAGGCAACATCTGTCTTTCCCAGGCAGATTTAAGACCCTGTGAGCTGATGTATCACCCATTTCCGGAACCTTCTTTTTAAAATTGCTGTATCATGGCCCAAGGTCTTGGGACTGGAAAGCGGAGGAGGTCTCATCTGCTTACCCACTGACAATTTGGTCTTCATTCCCTTGGAAATTAATAGTAGGGGAGATGTCACAGAGCTTTGACTTGATTTTTTTTTTTTTAAGTGGGAGGGAGGGGAGGAAGAGGGAGGTTGTAGCTTGTCACAGAATACACAGGATATTTTGAAGCCATACCTAAGGTTCTTGCATTCACTCCAAGATGTGGATGAGCTGCATTCAATTGACTGAATTTTGTATGAGGGAAAGGATGGCCAAGAGAATGTGCCTTAGGATCCGTCTTTCAGCCAGGCAGCTGTGGTGGAGGGGGGTAACGCCGAATTTGAGTCTGGGCTCTGGTTGCTGCTGACTTCATGAAGCTGTTCAGCCTCCCGAGCCTGTTCTCCATCTCTGAAGTGGGGATCACAAGGGTTGTTGTGAGCACTAAAAGCTATTACCAACCCCAGAGGCTCAATGCGCACGGAGCTATGGTGCCCACTGAGTGATGTGAAAGGGAAGGAGCAGTTGGAGGCCTGGAGCTGTTCTCGCTGTCCTTGGAGAGCAGAAGTGTTCATTTTATGCAGTCAGGACTCCGTCTTTGCCTCCTCTGGTGGGAGCCCTTGGTGTGTCTTGGCTCTGGAAATGCTTAGACAGCTTCACTAACTAAGTTCAACCCAAATTGTGAACCTGAGAAACGCAGCATTAAGTTACCTAGCGAAGGCCTAAGGTGTGATGTGCATAATCCAGTTACACATACTCTGCAAGCAAGATCTTCCCTTCAGCCTCTCCTGGAAGTGACCGCACCTTCTGAGCCAGGTCACAGGCGCTTATCACTTTTGTGGAGTACATGTTCGTTGTCCTGTTTATGCTCTGGCAGGAAATGTTCAAGGAGGGAAAAGTGAACGCCCATGCATGGGCTTGGTTCCAGGCTCCTAGCCCCTCTTTGGGGTTAGGGGTGCAAGAGGGAATTATTGACTTCCTTTCATATTGTGGATGGAGAAGTTCCCATATTGGAAGGAATGGTATAAGCTGGAGACAGGCATTCTCTGATGGTGGAATTGATTCCATTTCTCTGCCATGGGGAAAGCTACCCAGTTGCAAACAGTATCAGCCTCCCACTCAGACATCACTGTGTTTGAGCACATTGTGCTCTGAAGCCAACAGACGTGTTGCAGGGGATAGGAATACAGCCTGAGGACAGCTGTGCCCGCCTGCCTGCGGAGGTGCTGAGCTGTGATAGGGACGGGGGTCAGGTGGGGCGTTGCCCGCTGGCCCCCAGACCTGTCAGGGAAAAATCTTCGTTTCACTTTCTGTTGTGCCCAAGATTGTTGTTAGCAGACCCTCCATCTGACAAGCCCTGGCATCTGCTCTCGCACTGAGGAAGGAGCCTTGGAGTTTGGCTCTCCTGTCCCTGCTTCCCAGAGTCTGCTGGGCCGGTCCTCGCTGTGCCTTCAAACCACCCCAAGGAGACCTCAAGGGAGTTTCTGGCTCTTTGCAGCAGGTTGCTCTTGCACTCGGAAATGAGGAACGCTTCAGTTTGCATGGGAGATTCCTTTTCTCTTTTGCAAAGAGGACGCTCTTACCTGACAACACTAAGGCAGAAAACCAGCCTCTCAGCCTCGGAAGCTTAACAGCTTTGAAAGCCACTGCCTGCCAAACAGCCGCTGCTGCTTCTGTTCCAAGTTTCTGACGTTGGTTCTCTAGTTCATGTTTTGGGCAAGCAGGACACCTCATGACCCCATTGATGCTTCCTGTCCCAACTAACTGTTCTGGCTGCATCTAACTGGCCTTGGAGGGAAGGCGTGGAGCTGAGAGGCGGTTGACACCTGTGGACACCATTTCTCAGCCTCTTCATACACCTTTTCCAAAATTTTCACTAATTTACTTAGAAGGCATGTACTAAGCAAATATGCTAGGCACTGTTAGAGGTGCTAGGATGGAGCAGACACAGTTTCTGTTTCTGGAACTCACAGGTTGCCAAGCAGTGCACAAAGGCAAAAGAAACAGTTTTCACCTGGGATCTGTTCATTTGCTAAGACTGAGCACCTACTCCGTTTTTACCTGTAGTTACACATGTGATCCTTGCACAACACAGAGAGGTCGGCTGACTTGTCCAAGGACTCATAGCTGATAAAGGATAGAGCTGGAAGTCCGCCTTATTCTGCCTGGCTCCATTGTCTGAGCCGTTAGAGCTTGTAGAACAGAGAAATCCATTCTAACCTGAGGTGAGAGGGCATCCAGAGGAGACAGCCTTTGAACTGGGCAAAGCTGAGCCTAGAGGGTTGGGTAGGAGAAGAGACCTTTCCTGGTAAGATAAGAGTCAGGGTGCGTGGAGCTATTCAACTCCATCTTTCCTTGGGTACAAATGTTCAATGCACATTTTCTCTAGAAACAGACTTGTTCGTGAAAGGAGTTAGCTGTGTCTACAGGCAGCAAAGCTACTTCTTTGAAGCCTTCCTTCCCCTCCTCTTCCTTGTCTCTTCCTCGAGGGATCTTATTGGCTCTGCACTATAAAATGCGGCTTAAATACCTCAGCCCTTGCTTTCCGGGATTTTACTAAATAGTTACCACCAGCAGAATTAACAGGCCTACTGACAATTGGTCTAAACAAAGGGGCCCTACTGGAGACTCACTTTAAAACCAGGTATCCAGATAAAGTTGTATTGTCCAACCACACCAGGGAATACTAGGTAGCCATTAAAAAGGTCAAGAAAATTTCTTCAAAACATTCCTAAATTAAAATCAAGCTGTATAGCGGTATGGTTCACAAGAGTTCATTTCTGTATAAATACATTTGAAATGTGTAGATTTTCATAAATAAAAACCTAGGCAGATTTAATAGTAGAATCTTCCAAGGGTAGGATTGAAGGGTAATTAAAAAAACTTTTTAACGTCTACTTATTTTTAGTATTTTCTTAAAATGAGCATGTATTAGTTTTGTAATGAGATATAAAAAATTACATTTTCTTAAAAAAGAAAAAGTGGAGGAGCTCAGAGCAAGCTCCCATCCTAGAGGAGCTGGAGTTTCTTAGCTGGGAGGGGTTGGATCTCCGCATTGGACTCTGTGATGCTGGCTCCAGCGGCCCCATAGCTTTGTGTCAGCCATAGTGTCTCAGTGCAGATGTGGGGTTGGACCACCCTGGGACAGTGCACGTGAACTGCCTAGCAGCAGACATCACAGAAGTGCTCTGACAGCTTTGAGCGACGGCTGCAGTGCCCGCCTTTCACCCAGAACTGACAAAGGGAGCCCTCTGGGGCCAGGAGAGCCATGGCTACTGTGGCTGCCATTAACTTTGGGATGAGGCCAGGTGGCAGTTTGCAGCTTAGCTGGGGGAGAGTGGGGCCCTTTATCCATCACCTGAAATACTTACTGCCTCCTCCTGCCAGAGCCGTGGGCCTTCGCTGTGTTCTGTTATCTGTTCACAGTTGCCAGAAAACCATCTCATATGGACAGGCGAGCTCCCTTAGTAAGGCGTGAGATCTGGAAGCTTCTCAGATCTATTCTGTATGGCACTCTCCGCCAACCCCTCTTGCTTTGGGGATCTTGTTAGGAACGAACATTCTTAGGGTGAGGGGTGGTGGTTGACAGATTTACTAGTGGTGGGATTTGGCCAATTACTAGCTACCTACTTCAGCCCCCTAAGCATCTATTAAATGGGCACAACCCCTCCCTTGCCAGGTGGTTGGAAGGTGCCCAGGCATTCATTCAGGCATCCAGTAAGTGTTAGTTTTCTTCTCTTGCACAAGTTGAGAAGAAAGATGTGTGCATAGGTGAATACCAGCATACCTAACTTCCCTTGCAGTAGTGGAGAAGAAGTTGGGTGTGGCGAAGGGAGAGGAAAGAGAAGCCCCTGAGGCTAGTGTTGAGTAGGGAAGCTGGGCCTCTGGAGCCAGGGCAGCCGAGTCCTTGACTGGGGAGGAGACAGAGAGAATTGCATTATTGTTGTTGGTAATACTGACTTGCTGCATGGCAAGTTTTTAGAAGGGTTCAGGAATCCATTTTAAACTCTTTGTAAATATTAGCTGCTGCCATGAGGCTTAGTAGCTGTGTGCCGTGAGCTGCTGCAAACATTATCTTACAATAATCCTCTGGGGTCTGCTGCTTTCCCCTTTTACAGATGAGGAAATTTGAGGTTCAAGACTTGAGGTAACCTGCCCCAGGCCACACAGCTAGGAAGTGCCAGAGCTGGGATTCCAATCCTGGTCTGTCTAGTTCCAAAGCCTCCGCTCTTCCAGTTACCCCGTTCTCCACTGATGTCCAGTGACGTTAGTTCTCATTCCACTGGCCTCCAGCTCATCTGGCGCTGGGGCCTTTGCTGTGATGACCTGTCCTGCCCCTGCTCTGTAAGGCAGGCTTGGAGTTCCTAAGAAATAAGGAGACTTCCCCAGAGTCCAGCCTCAGGGTGGGAGCTGCCGGCAGCTAATGCTGAAGGCATGTATGCATGAGCAAACACTGCCAGGGCTGCGAGCTTAAAAATGGATCCCTCTCTACTCAGAGGGAACCCCGTGACTCTGTGGTTTTTTGATGCATGCATTATTTATCTCAGGCTTGGAAACAAACATTGAGAAATTCTTCCTGAAACTGGGGTACAACGGGTTGGGGGGTGCTTGAGGACCTAAATCTTTACATTGCAGTCTATTAACAGACTTCCTTCAGCGAGACATTCATGTGGACTGAGCTGGGGGCAAAGGTTTTGGGGGTGCTTCCCCCTACCACCCATCCAATGAAGGAGCAAGAGGAATGGGAAGAGCCACTCCCTCCCTCCCTCCCTCCTGAGGTGGCCACGCCTCCCCTGCCCTCCCCAGCTCAGCTGTACTCACCACCGACTTCATTGCAGCAGCAGCAGCTCCAGGCGCAGCACCTCTCCCATGCCACACACGGCCCCCCGGTCCAGTTGCCACCCCACCCATCAGGTCTCCAGCCTCCAGGAATACCCCCAGTGACAGGGAGCAGCTCCGGGCTGCTGGCATTGGGCGCCCTGGGCAGCCAGGCCCATCTGACGGTGAAGGATGAGAAGAACCACCATGAACTCGATCACAGAGGTGCGGCTGGGCTGGGGCAGAGGGTGGGGTGGGGCAAGGCTGGGCATGGGCACTCATAGGCCTCACAGTGAGTGGACCCAGCAAGTGCTGTCAGCCTAGGACCAAGAGTTACCAAGGATTTGGAGCCATCTGTTGAATACTTGGTGCATGGAAGCCAGCGCCATCCGCATCCCATGCACCTTTTCCTAATCCTTGGTGTAGGAACTCCCTGTCCTAAAAACCCTGTCTGTTCATCTGGAGCTCCCTCCCATCTTCCTACGACAGCTATGCCTGGCCTTCAGGGGCCAGCCCCAGTCCACCCCTTCAGGATGCCTTCCTGGTCAGACTAGGGGCCTTTTTCAAGTTCTCATAAGAGTTTAAGAGTTGGGAAGCCAAGACTAAGTCCTTGTTACTGTCCTCTTACATTCTACCCCTGGAAAATGTCTTGTGCTTACCATGATCATTAGTTCCCTAGCACAGGGCCAAGTTCTTGGGTGTTTTCCTTACATCTACATCTCACCAATGCAGAAACCTGGGAAAGGTGCACAGTCAGTGCTCAGGTAAAGGTTTGTTAGCTGGCTGCCTGTACGTGGGGGTAGTGCACACCCCAGCAAGAGAGCACATTGACTTGGAGTCAGAACTTGTTCCCTGACCCTCTGTGAGCCCTTACCATGAGGACCCAGGAAGCTGCACCGAGCGTGGTCTCAAGAGTGGTTCATTGGATCAGAAAAGAGAAACGCCTGGCTCCCTGGGAGGCTCTTTTCAAAAACTGGTGCCAAATGCACTCTGCCCTTAGATACGGTATTTACCAGGGCACGTAGCCAACACCTTCTGAGCACTAGGGACCTGGAATGTCACCATCCTGCCTTGGCCCAGGCCACAGGGTGGTAGCCGGTCCCGAGAACTGAGGCTACATTTTTTTGTCTTACAGTGGGATGGTCCTTTTGGCAGAGGAAGAGGGGCCTCTCCACAGCAGACAGGAGAACTGGGGAGCAAGTGCTTAGCTGGGAAAATTATCAGAGGCTTCAGCTTTTAGGGGCATCCTGACAAAGAATCAGAGAATGGTGTTAATTTCAAAAACAAAATTAAAGAAACCACTCCTAAATTCCTTTTTATTTTTACAATAAAGTTCTTAACTCCCAGGTCCTGCTGGTATTTTGTATGGCATGATCCTTCCCAAGCTTGTGGTCTTAAGACCCCTAGTCTGCTAAAGAGTAAACTTGGTGCCCTTTGGCATGACAGGGAGAACTGGGTCAAAGGCCTCCCTTCCCCACCCTGGGGACTGGAGGGGTGGGGGCAGCACTGGAATTTGGGTGGCGAATTTCCAAACCGAGAAACGCCACCTAATGGCTCTGCCTTGGCTGATCCACGGAGACAGCGATCCAGGCCTTCTGCCCATTTTAAAACCAGTGCACTAGCAAATCACAAAAGCCAGCTGGACTTAGACTGACGTTTTTCCATTCTTTTTTGTGTTTTTGTCTCGGGGTGCCTGACCTTCCTCCTGTCCTGGCCTTCCTTCCCCAAAGAGAGAGAATCCAGTGCGGTAAGTGTTGGCACTCTGGAAGCCGGAGGGGTGTTTGGATGCTGGGAGGAGCTGGGACTTGGGGCTCCCAGAATCGTGGGCCTGAGACCAGTCAGTTGGTGTCCAAAGCTGGCTTCCGGGTTCCCGGTTCTGCTCTGTGGGTTGAAACGGGGGGTTTTGTTGTTTGTTTACTCTTGCCGAGCTAGGAGACCTGGCTTCTGTGCTGATGTCTTAGTCCAGAGCCAGTGGTGGTAGTGGCAGGGTGAGGGGTAGTTACTATAATAAAATGGGAGCTGCTGTCGTCACCTGTTGAGAGTGACCTTCGGTTGTGGAAGCCCTTCATCTCCCCAGGCTTTAGGTCTGCCATTTGTCAAATGAAGAGCTTGGGCTAAATGAGCTCTAACTCCCTTTCATATGAGAGGTGATACTCTGAGAGGTCAGCTGACTAGCCCTGGGTCTTCCATTGCAAGGGGCTTTGTAGAATCTCTGGGCTAAACCCAGGTCTAAGGACCGAGGTGTCCCATGTTGAGGGCCAAGGTTCTTACCCACCCCCCAGCTAGGATGCCTCTGTATCATCTTGCATCCACCTCATTCCCTTCAAACGCCTGCAGTTTCTCCCTGCTCTGGGCTTTCACTCGATTTAAGAAAGTGCTAGCAGGCGAGCATTAAGGCCAGGCCGCCTGCGTGTCTGCCAGCTCTGAGATTTGTTGTAAATCTTTCTGATCACACTGAGGCTCCGAGGTTCTGTTTCAAGTGAATAAGCCTTCTGAATAAGCGCAGTGGAGTCTGGATAAAAAAAATCCTCCAGCGATTAGCAAAGCTATTTTATTCCTCATCGCCGTCCTTGTATCTGGGGCCATCTAATCTGTTAGGATGGCTTTGGTTATTACCTCGTGTTAAGTAGGACTTGGAAGGTCAGGCAGTTAACTAACCATCTAGACAGCAGCTTCCTTGGGCAACTCTCTCCAGTCCAACCCTCCTTCCCTTCCTGGCCCTCCCCCAACCCAGGCTGACTTTTTAAACCTCCCATTGGCAGTGAGGCTGGCGTCGCCTCTTGCCCTGCCTACATGCTCAGGAATCCAGGACCACATTTGGGCTGAGGAATGGCTAGGTACCTAAAAGAGGAGTCATTGAAGCTGAAAATCCATGTTCACTGCCTCCGTACTGATCCTCCAACAGTGGCATTTTTGGAGAGGCAGTTTGCCTAGACAGAAGGAGGACTGGATTGGACATTTTAAGACTGAGGTCTGGTCCCAGCTTTATGAGACCCTGCGTAGTTCCCTTGGCCTCTCAGAGCCTCAGTTTCCTTATCTATACCATGGGAATAATTCCTGCTTGGCCAACCTCTCAGCTTTGTTTAGGAAGACCCATGGTAACTTGACTGAGGATCCAGATTACCTGGCTATCAGGGACCCACTGCAGTGGAACTGGTGGGGGAGTGGGAAGACCAGCACTCTCTAAAGAGCGTGAGTCTTTACCTCATCCTCATCCCTATTGGCTTCTGGCTTTGTGCCCCATCTGTGAAAGTTTTCTGCTAAAAGACCCTCTCTGGGAACCCCCAAGAGCTGGGCTCTTTACCATGCTCACTGAGGTTCAGGCATGGCACACATGGGCCACAGGAAACTCCAATGGGAATGAATCAAGATGCTGGGCAGAGGCAGCAGTGGGTAGCTCAGGGCTGAGGCTGTGCGCATGGCATGTGGAGTGGTGACGGTGTCAGGGGCGGTGTAGACTGAAATAATCAGGCTTTGGAAACCAGGTTGTCAACAGATGAGGCCTACGGCAGGAAGGACAAGGCTGTGTCAGAGTGGGAGGGGGGATGGGGGACGGGCTGGAAGCTGTCCCAGAGGGGTTAGTCTGGAGTCCAATTAGAGGTAGCTTCATTCATATTTCCTTGCCTAGCCGAAGCAATAAAAAATACTTAGTTTTTTGGCCGCCTGCCAGCCAGAGGCGGGCTGGATCGATGCCGCTAAATGCCTGACATGACTCTCCGGTAGCGGCGAGGGTTTTCAGCCTGACTGCATGAGAAGAAAGAGCTCGCTGTTCTCCCGAGCCGAGCACCGGGTCGCAAGGAGAAACACGAGCAGCCGCACGCCCCCTCCCCTGCCCGCCCGCCTGCAAGGGGCAGCCAGTGCGAGGGGCTGGAAGCATTTCTGCTTAGCACAGGGTGGCCGCCACCGTCAGAGGAAATGAAATGAAATGACGGTGATTTTTCTGCCGGCGATTGCAGCAGCTAATTGAATTGCGGCTGTGCGCGCATCGCCGCCGCTCCTGCACGGCTGTGGGGAAGGTTGAGCTGCAGTTCCATTATAACCTCCATTTTTTCTTCAAGGCTTGATAACTCTGCCATTTTAATTTGCTTCAGGCAGAAACTTGGCAGGGAAGGGCTGCCCAGAAACCGGCTTAGGAAAGGAAATTAAGTTCTGAGGCTGGTTGCCGCACTATTCCCACCGAATACTGCCCAGCTCTGTTCCCTCCAAGTGGCCCTTACCCCTGAGCCACCCTTGGCCTCTGAGAAAGTGGAGAAGTGAAGCCTCATTCCACTTGCCCTCTGATGCTCTTCTCTTCTGAACAGATGTCCCTCTGTGTCTCCATGTGACCTCCTGTGTTGCATGGGGACTGGGACTGGGGATGGCCTGTCCTTTTCTTCCAGCTCCATCATAGCTGGACCATAGCTGCTTTGGAGGGCCAGGATTGTGTCTCGTGCATTCTGCCACTCCTGGCCTGCAGCACCAGACCTGACCCAGGGCAACTGCTTGGAAATTGGTGGGTGGGTGAAGGTAAAGTTTGGGCTCTTAGGAAGGAGTAAACTTCACCAATATTGTAGAGGGGCGTTGGTCCTGATGTTATTCTCTGGACACAGAGGTTTGCTGGCAGGTGCCCTTGCCAGTAGCACTTCCCTCCCTGCTCCCCAGCTCGGTGGTAACAGCCACATGGTGATTTCTGACCACTGTCAACCCCCAGGACTGCTCCATCATCTTCCCTCTTCCCAGGCCTCCCATCCCAAAGGCTTCTCATCCTCATTTGCTTTATAGTTGAGGGAGAACTCACGAAAATTTGGGGTTCCCTTTGTGCCACCTTCTGCTAGGGGAGCTTGGGCACATTCGCCAACCTCTCAGGGTCTCCACTTGGTAATGGCTACAGAGGCGGTGACTGTCCCTGCCCTTGCGCCTTTTCCTGTCTCTGTCAGAGGGGAAGGCTTCATGACGTGGCATTTTTGTTTTTTCACAACCCTGGTGTTTCTCCAGAGTGCTGACAGCCTTGCCATGGAGGCGGGGGTGTTCACACCGAATGCTCGGCTGCTCATCTCCACTGGGAAGTTGGTGGCTGCCTGACACCCTCCTTCCCTGTCAATCTCCCCATTCCTATTGGGCTCAGCAAATGAAGTATTGCTCATGGCCCCCGCCTGTCAGCTCGGATCCGTCTTACAAGACTCAGTGCAAATTCCACTTACCCGTCCTTTGAGCAAATGAGTGCAGCAGGCTCGAGATGGGTGGTGAACGAGACCCAGGTGACCCTCGCCCTCACGGAGCGTAGTCTCACAGGCCAGAAAGCAGACGGCTCACTGCGGGGTTAATTATTTAATAGCAGTTTGGAGCTGCAAAAGAGAATTGGGGGTGCTCCCAGGGCATCTCCCCGGGAACTCAGTCTGGGGAGTGGGGAAGGCTTCCCTGGCAAGGCTCTGATGAAGCCACGATCTGCAGGGCAGAGAGGAATTCAGCTTCTCTTCCCTCCTCTGACCTCCCTGTCACCTGCACTTAGCAGTGTGTGGATGTGTGAGTTGTTACACACAGCAGAAAGTTTTAACCCCAAACCCTCTTCTTCCTTCCAGAATAACTCTGTGTCACCCTCGGAAAGCCTCCGGGCCAGTGAAAAGCACCGGGGCTCTGCGGACTACAGCATGGAAGCCAAGAAGCGGAAGGCGGAGGAGAAGGACAGCTTGAGCCGATATGTACGTCCGAGGGGCCGTGGCGCCACTGGGGTTTCTGTTGGGTAGGGCAGGGGGTGTCTGCAGGGCCCAAGCTATGGCCAGGGTCCTCTTATGGCTGGCAGGGAGTCAGAGCAGCACAGGTGGCAATAGGCGGCCTCATTGAGGAGGACAGGGTGGGGACGGGGCTAGGGTGAAGTTCACACACTGTGAGTATGTGAGCCACTCCAGGGCAAAGGTGGACGGGGAGGTCGTCCTGGCCTTCATGGGGTCTCTTCCCACAGATGGGCCAACAAACCCATGCTGCTGTCACGGTGCTGCCAGAATCCCACTTGGCTCTAAGGAGCTGCTCCCGATGCCCCACAAAATGTGGACCCTACAGTCCTCTCAGTCAGCCCCAGGCACGCACTCACTTGGCCACCCAGTCATGTCTTTCATTAGCCTTTTAATGGGAGGCCCCCGGCACATGAGACCCTAGTGGAAGCATGGCTGTTGTGTTTCCCCTGTGCCAGGCTGTGCAGGGCTGAGAGCTGGGACAGAGGGAAGGGGAGGATATGATCAGGGCCTCCGCAGTCTTGCACCCAGCCCTCTTCAGCTACATGGCTGCTGTGTGGCTTCGGGCACATTGCACACCCAAAGGGCACTCAGCTGTGTTTCTGGGAGAGAAGGCAAGTCACTATCCCACACGGAGCGGGGGGAATGACCAGGTGAGAGCAGCACACTGACTGTGAAGGATGGTGAATGTAAAACCAGCTGGGAAGAAGGTTCTGGCTTCAGAGAGAAGCAGAAGGGCAGGCTGTGGGGGCAGGGGCTTAGAACTGTTATGATGGGGTGGGTGTCAGTGTGGCTGCCCAGTGGGCACAGGAGTGGAGTAACCTAGGGGCTGGGGTAGGGGACAGCCTCACAGGGGGACCGTGTTGAGCTGGAGTGGAGCCTGTGGAAGGGCAGGGCTGGAGTAGAAAGCATGGACTTTGGAGTTTGGCCTGGCGTCAGGTCCTGGCCAGTAGAAGGATAGGGTGGTTTGGGCCCGGTCAGGGGTGGGGAAAGTGTGGCCTCTTACCATTTGGCTTCTCTCTTGGTTGCAGGACAGTGATGGGGACAAGAGTGATGATCTGGTGGTGGATGTTTCCAATGAGGTATGGGCAGGCCCGGTTGAAGGGGGCTCTTGGTTGGGGATGGTTTGGGATTGTTCCTCCCCAGGGTGGGATCTGTTCTGTCTGTTCTAATATTGCTGGCAGCCTGAGCAGGGAGACAAGGCCTCCAGTCTTGAGGTCTCAGGGGGCCAAGAGGAGCAGGGCAGGGCTTTGCTGCATGGTGTCCAGGCATTTATGGGCCCGGAGGGCCTCCTGCAATGCGTCTCCAGAGAGACACCCCCAAAGATCCCAGATAGGGGCCATCTTCTATTCCCCCCAGGGGCTCAGCCTCAGGGGCCTGAGGAGGAGGAGCGGGAGAGCATCCACACTCGGCCAAACCCAGGCAGGCTGATTGAAGTCCTGAACTTGTGTTTGACATTGGGCAGATCACCCTTCCACCCTCCCCAGGCCTCAGTCGGACCAGATGGTTAAGAGTTAGTTTCCCCTCACTGTGGGACCCCCAGTCTTTGAGCCAAGCTCTTCTTCCCACACCCATGCCCTTTCCCTTCTCACTCCCAGAGCAGGGAAGCCTCAAGGCTGGCTGTTGCTTTCAGTGCATCTCTGCATCGCTTGTGTTTTCAGGACCCCGCAACGCCCCGGGTCAGCCCGGCACACTCCCCTCCTGAAAATGGGCTGGATAAGGCCCGTAGCCTGAAAAAGGATGCCCCCACCAGCCCCGCCTCGGTGGCCTCTTCCAGTAGCACACCTTCCTCCAAGACCAAAGACCTTGGTCATGTATGTGGGGTCTGGGTGGAAGGGAGTGGAAAGGGAGCAGCAGGGACCAGAGCTGGGATGGTGCCAATTGGCGGGCAGAGGGGTGGAGTGGAGAAACTGGATGGGTGATTGGCCCAGGTTTACCTCCTGTGCCTGCTGGGCCTGTGCTAATGAGTTAACATTTTCTGAGCCTTGGTTGCTACATCTGTAAAATGGGAGTGATCACCCCAGTCCCTGCCAAACAAGGTTGGGTAAGGATTGAGAGGCTGTTCGGCAGAAGCTTCCTGCGGGGCTGGCTCTGGGCTTCATGTTGGGACTGGCACCAGTTGTGCCCGGCTCCTAGGAGAATGGAAGCCTCATGGCCTCCCTTGTTGTGCATCTCCCCTCTTCAGAACGACAAATCCTCTACCCCTGGGCTCAAGTCCAACACACCAACCCCAAGGAACGACGCCCCAACTCCAGGCACCAGCACGACCCCAGGGCTCAGGTCGATGCCGGGTAAACCTCCGGGCATGGACCCGATAGGTATAATGGGTAGGCACCATGGGCTGGGTTGATCTGATTGGGGGGAGGGGGTCTGCCCCTGGCCGGGGCAGGGGTCTCACACACCCATGGGATAGAGCACAGGCAGTGTCTCCCAGGGCCTGCCCTTGGGGACTTCATGGTCAGATTTGAGGAGGAGGTGACACCAAGGCTTCTGGGGCCCCTGCTGGGCCAGACATATGAAAACAGCATCAGACAGGTCAGGGCTCCCAAGATCTGTTCCCACCCCTGTCATTAGTCCAGTGAGGCTCTATGCAAGCCCGTTTGGGCCTCCATATCCTGCTCTGTAAAAACAGGTGGGTGCATCTGTCAAGCTCTAAGTTTCTTTGGCTCTGAAGGCAGGGATCCCAGTTGGGTGGGTTCAGTCTGAGGGGACTGCCTGGAGCAGGCAGCTTGAGAATGCAGGGAGGGTTATCGCTGGGTGAGGCGGCCGTGGCCATGTCCCAATCCCCCTAAGGCCCACCTCCCTGATGCTCACCCCCTCACAGCCTCGGCTCTGCGCACGCCCATCTCCATCACCAGCTCCTATGCAGCGCCCTTCGCCATGATGAGCCACCACGAGATGAACGGCTCCCTCACCAGTCCTGGCGCCTACGCCAGCCTGCACAACATCCCACCCCAGATGAGTGCCGCCGCCGCCGCTGCAGCCGCTGCCTACGGCCGATCACCAATGGTGAGCTTTGGAGCTGTACGTAGACCTTTTGGCTCCTTTCTTGGGGACTGGGCATGGTGTGGGGAGCTGGTGGGGGTTGGAGGGGTGCTCTCCACATGCCAAAGGGGGCCTGGGGGCCCCTCAGGGTCTCAAGGCCAGGCAGCTGACCCTGTGGGGAGAACGTGTATCGGAAACAATTGAGACTTAGCTGGAAGGGCACATGCTTTGGGGCCAGCAGACCTGGGTTCCATCCCCCACTGGCCTACGAACTGCCCTGTGACCTCACGCAAGGCAGCCTCCCTTTGAGTCTGCGAAACGGGGCTGAGTCTGCCTTTCCCAGCTCTGGGGGGTGGGAATCCCAGGCGAGTCAGGTGATGTTCATGGAGCAGGGGTCTCGTAGATGGGACTGGTCGTTACAAGACTTTCTATTGTGGTGAATGAATAATAAGAGTTAGGGGCCTGGCATGGTGGCTCAGTAATCCCAGTACTTTGGGAGGCCAAGGCGGGTGGATCACCTGAGGTCAGGAGATCGAGACCAGCCTGGCCAGCCAACATGGTGAAAGCCTGTCTCTACTAAAATACAAAAATTAGCTGGGTGTGGTGGCAGGCGCTATTCGGGAGGTAGAGGCAGAAGAATCCCTTGAACCCGGGAGGCAGAGGTTGCAGCGAGCCAAGATTGCGCCACTGTACTCCAGCTTGGGCGACAGAGCAAGACTCCATCTCAAAAAATAAAAAGAAAAAGAAGAGTTAGGGTTGGCGGAGAGAGGGGCCCTTTTTCAGGAGATAGTTTTCCTTTTTACCTCCTGGACCTTGGGTGGCCTTCTCTCCACTGGCAGGCCCACTAGGACCACAGGAGAGGAAAGAAGTAGGGCAGGGCCAGCTCTGCCTTGCAGAACAGGGAGGATGCTGGTTCAGAGTGGGGTCTACACACTGTCACCCCCTCCCTGCCACAGGCCTTCCTGGGCCTGTGTCTCCTCTGAATCAATGGGCTCTGCTCTGCCCAGCTTGTCTCTTGGGTTATAAAGTGGCAGAGCCATGCAGGTAGGACCCCGGGTGGGTGGTGGAGGAGGCAGGGGTGGGGGTGTGTGGCAACACGGCTGATGGAGGGCTGTCTTGCCTTGCTTTACAGGTTGGTTTTGACCCTCACCCCCCCATGCGGGCCACAGGCCTCCCCTCAAGCCTGGCCTCCATTCCTGGAGGAAAACCGTAAGCTTTGGCTATACTTACTGCATGCTTTGTAGGGTGGGGAGGAGAGAGCACTCTACCCCTCCTTCCAACAACACACGTCATCCCCTGACGAAGAATTTGCCCTGGTGCATGTCCCTTTGGAAAGGTATCTGTCCCTCTGGAGGCACCGAGGCCTAGTTGCAACCCCAGAAAACTATAGCCAAGCCATGCTTCTCAGCACCCACAGAAGCTCCCTCCAACAGAGGAGCCATGGGGTTAGCTAAGTACATGGCCCCTGGGCTGGGAGACAAGGAACACTCCTCACCGAGTCACCTGGAGCTGTGGTGGGCCTTGCCGACTCCTTTGGGCTCTACCTGCTGGGAAGACCCCAGTGCCGCTGGTCGCAGGCCCTTCCCTGTCAGCAGTGCTTTCCTCCCCTGGAGGGCACACTCTCCCCGGCCCTTCACTTCCTCGGGTTGCTAGGAAACTAAAAGATTGAGCCTATAGATAATGCGGAGACACTGCCTGACACAGTCCTCTAATTGTCCCGAGAATCTAGATGCTGATTGAGAGGGCGCCCACCAGAGCCGGAAACAGCAGGCAGGCCAGGCTGGCCCCCACCGACTCTGACACAGACTTTCCCATTTGCTATTGAGGGGCAAGCAGATCCCTTCCCTAATACCGCCGGCTCCTAAAGCAAGAGGTGGCATTTCAGCCATGCCCTTTCCAGGGCTGGCTTGTTGGGGGCATGTATGGATCGTGGGAAAGGGCATTCCAGGACATCTGTGGGTTTCTGGTCTGATTTGGAGCAAGGATATATAACCGGGTGTAAAAATCAAAGCTGGTCTGTTAAGCACTCTCCACCCTGGTGGAGCCCTCCCAGTACATGGGGTTACTGGGTTCGAAAGGTTTCAGAGCAGAGGGGCCTGGAGGCAGGGCAGCCAGTCGGGGGCGGTGCAGGTGACCTGGGCCAGGCCTGTGGGAACTCTGAGAGGCCCGGGGTGGATGGCAGCAGTGACGGTTCTCACCTTTTCAGAGCGTACTCATTCCATGTGAGCGCTGATGGGCAGATGCAGCCCGTGCCCTTCCCCCACGACGCCCTGGCAGGCCCCGGCATCCCGAGGCACGCCCGGCAGATTAACACACTCAGCCACGGGGAGGTGGTGTGTGCCGTGACCATCAGCAACCCCACGAGGCACGTCTACACAGGTGGCAAGGGCTGCGTGAAGATCTGGGACATCAGCCAGCCAGGCAGCAAGAGCCCCATCTCCCAGCTGGACTGCCTGGTGAGAATCCCAGGGCCGCCACACCTCCTCCAGCTGGTGTAGGAGGATGGGGTAGCCTGGGCCACGGGAGAGAGCCCCAGGGCCCGGCTCAGCATCGTATTGGCTGAGCAACTTTAGGCAAGCTGACTAACCTCTCTGAGCCCCAGTTGTGCCTTCTGTGTGTGGGGCTGATACTGACCTCCTGGTATTCATGAAAGATCAAAGGCTTGTGTATTTGAGGAATGGGGACAGCCAGGCAGCTGCTGGGTATAGGGGAGGCTGTAAGCAGGGCTGGTGAGGGTGCTCAGTATTGCTGGACAGGACTCTCCTGGTGCCCACGAGGGGAAGTAGGCAGCACTCAGCCCTGCCCCTTCTCCCTCCAGAACAGGGACAATTACATCCGCTCCTGCAAGCTGCTTCCTGACGGGCGCACGCTCATCGTGGGCGGTGAGGCCAGCACGCTCACCATCTGGGACCTGGCCTCGCCCACGCCCCGCATCAAGGCCGAGCTGACGTCCTCGGCTCCCGCCTGTTATGCCCTGGCCATCAGCCCTGATGCCAAAGTCTGCTTCTCCTGCTGCAGCGACGGGAACATAGCTGTCTGGGACCTGCACAACCAGACCCTGGTCAGGTGAGCCGTCCGGAGGGAGCATTAGTGCCTCGTCCTGGGGAAGTTTTTACCCACCCTGCCTGGTCTTGTTTGCTGTGACCTTGGCCTTGTCTGAGGTGCCATGGGGTGGCCATAATCGTTGGGATGAGGGATGCACAGGTGAAAAGACAGCTCTGCCTGCCTTATGTGAGGGACAGAGGAGGGAGGGCCGTTGGGCCCAGGAGCTTGGAGAGGGCTCTGGGAAGAAAGTGGAGCTAGAGCATGTCTGGGAAAGTTGAGGTCAGATTAGTGGAGCAAGCAGAGAAGCTGGGAGCAGAGGCCCAGAGACCAGATTGGGGAGACCTGACTGGGAAGCCACATCATGTGGTGTCTAGACAAGCCTCAGGACAAAACTGCTGGGTTTGAATCCTGCTTCCACTATGACCTAGTGCAAGTTGCTGAACCCCTGCGGCTCAGTTTCTTCCTGTGTAAAACAGTGACAATGGAGCATCTGCCTCTGACTGTGCTACAGTGCAAAAGCAGACGGGGTGCCTGGCCCAGCTGACTCTTATACATGGGCTGTGTGTGTTATTCAACGTGTTCATGGATGGCCTCAGCCCCATAGTTCATGCAGGGTGAAGAGATAGATTAAGAGGGTAAATTGAGGGCGCATGGAGTGCGGGCTAAGGAGCTGTGTCCTAAAGGCAGTGAGGCCCTGTATTCTCTTTATCAGTCATCTCACACATGGCTTCCCCAGGGCCTTCCTGAGCCTCCAGCTCCACCTTCTCCAGAGGCCCACCCTGGAGGGATTCAGTCTCAGAAGCCTGGTGTGAGGTCCCCTTTTCACCCCCCATTTCCCACGGGACTTGTCCCGGGGCAAACCCTTCTGTGGAACTGGAAAGAGGCCAGAGCTAGCTTTGCTGCAAGCTCACTAAGGGACCATGTGCATAGTGCACTCTTCTGGGCCTCAGTTTCCTCTTCTGCTCAGACTGCCCCTGGGATGGCTGCCACCCTGTGGTTCCCGGGGCTCATCCTCCTCCCTGCTTGACTTTCATAGGCAGTTCCAGGGCCACACGGACGGGGCCAGCTGCATAGACATCTCCCACGATGGCACCAAACTGTGGACAGGGGGCCTGGACAACACGGTGCGCTCCTGGGACCTGCGGGAGGGCCGGCAGCTACAGCAGCATGACTTCACTTCCCAGGTGTGCGGCCCAAGACTCCTCCCTTCCCAAAGAGCAGTGTGTTCCCTCCCTCCAGGGCCCCAGTGGCTGGGTCAGGGACAAAGGGATCCTCACAGAGTGGCCATTGCCAAGAGACACTCGGGACCAACCTGAGCCATCTGGGAAGGCTTCTGGGAGGAAGCAGCAATGAAACAGACAGAGATGATCTTGGGGTTGGACACTTTTGACCCAACTGTAGGAATTCGATTTCTTTCTCCGCTGCTGTTGAGTACTTTGTCCTCGGCACCGTAGCCATAAACCCGACTCACAGAAAGCATTCAGTAAATGCCAGGGATGATTATTTCTTATTTGCATTCCCCACTTTAATATTTTAATCTTAAATGTTTAATATTTTAGTAGGCCTTTTTTTTTAACTCAATTTTTTCTTAAGGAAAGACGAAAGTCACAGAGACAGAGTAACTTTGAATGCAAAATGTCTGTGCTTTCTCACCTATAAAATGGGATGGAAAATGACCTCCCATACTCCTGGGTTATTGGGTGGGTAGGGAGGGACCCTGAGCCTCAGAGGACCTGAGCAGCACCTTTGGGAGCCGCCCTCCTCTTGAGGGCAAAGAATGCTGAGCTCAGTCCGTCTCCCCTCCCACTGCCTGCAGATCTTCTCGCTGGGCTACTGCCCCACTGGGGAGTGGCTGGCCGTGGGCATGGAGAGCAGCAACGTGGAGGTGCTGCACCACACCAAGCCTGACAAGTACCAGCTGCACCTGCACGAGAGCTGCGTGCTCTCCCTCAAGTTCGCCTACTGCGGTGAGCCTGGGATGGGCCCAGGCCTGATGGAGTAGGGTGGGGAGCCCAGGGCAGCCTGACCCAACAGGACAGAAGAGGGGCCTAAAGCTTATAGAATGAGCCAGGCCCCGGAACCAGGCCTCCTAACCCCTGGGCTGGTGCCCCTTCAGCACCCTTTAGTGATCTTGTTCCCCATCCTTGTTTCTCGGATGCAGATGTCACCATGAGTTATTGAACTCTCAGGACACTAGGCCAGAGCCAGTTCTTGCGGGCTTGGGGCAAAGGAACAGGACAGTAGCAGTGCAGGTAGTTCTTCCTGGTGGTTACAGCCACTGGCTTTGACACCTGATAGCCTTGGATGGGAATGTCTGCTCCTCCACTGACAAGCTGCGCAGTCTTGGACATCTCACCCTCTCTGTACTCTAGTGGATTTTCCTCTGAGGTCGGGAATAGCATGGTGTTCATGGCTTTCAGGGAGCAACAGAGCTTTAACACATGTAGAGCCCTGGCCGAGTGCCTGCTTGGAGGAAGGGCGCCCACTGACTGCTGTCTTCAGCCAGGTCTCCAGTCTCCCAGGGCTTGGATATTTTCGGTATTTCCCGCCACCTTCCAGTAGTAGAATTTAGAAAGGCCAGTCAACCTTAGTGGCTTTACCAAGAGTCTTTCGGGGCAGTGTTATCACTGCAATTAACTTCAAATCCTACCTTTTCCCACCCTAGCCCCGCCCAGCCCCCACCCCCGGATTTCAAAGAAAGGCCTTCTCCAGATATCCACGTGTCATTTGCAAAATGCCTCTCGAAATTGAAGAGTCATACTAGTTAGCAGTTCTCACTGCTTTTCTATGGCAGCTGGTCATGTCTGGGGCTGGTCTTGCTTTAGAGGGCAGTGAGCTACAACCTGATCATGCCTTTGCATCCCACCTGCAGGCAAGTGGTTCGTGAGCACTGGGAAAGATAACCTTCTCAACGCCTGGAGGACGCCTTATGGAGCCAGCATATTCCAGGTACTGCCCACCATCTGAGCCCTCCTCTGGGTTCCACCCAGAGTTGAAACTTGGCGGTGGTGATGGGAGTGAGGATAGCAGGAGGAAGAACAGGAGGAGCCTGGAGCCAGGATCAGACCTGCTCTGGTCCCCTCCCCACCCCTACCTGATGGGGGAGCAAGATGGGTTCTCCCAAGGACCTGGGGACTCCAGCAAGACATACGATCTGCTACTAATGGCTTCTGACCCCCGAGGGCAAGGGCTTTTAAGCAGGGGCGCTTGTCGGATTTGGAGAGCGAGGAGTAGCATAAATGTTTCTGCTCTGGGCTGGATGCTGAGCACCTGCAGGAGGTGCACTGGGCAGCTTCCCTCCTCGAGTGAGTGTTTCCACCTCCATTCAGCACCAGCAGGGACATGGACAGGAAAGAGAGGAGGAAAGGAAGAGGCTTTTTATAATCTACCAGGATCTGGGGCCTGCCATACTGCACTTTGGCATACACATGTATGCACACACACACGTGCACTCTTTCCCACACATGATCAAACTCACGCTCATTTACTCATGCACACTCAGTCTCCCACACACACTTTCTTCCTCTCTCTCTCTCTCTCGCGCGCACACACACACACACACACACACACACACACACTTGCGTTCTCTCTCACTCCCTCAGCCAACATGCCACTTTCTGGACCCAGACTGAAATGTCTGGTGTCTAGCATGTCAAACCTCATTGTTAGGGTCTTTAGTTACAGCACATGCTTCAAACATCAGGTGCCAATCCTTTTCCTAACTCATCAGGCTGTGGGCCTGAGCTGCTGACGCCAGCTCCTAGCTCGGAAATGCTTCTTCCTATTTGTAAACTCAGAGAAGCTCGTGCTAAAGCGTCCTGTTGTGATCATTATGACTTACTGTAAAGATCACATGGGAGACTGTTGCTGAGCTTTTCATTGTGGAAAAGCAGGTGGGAGGGGAGCTCTACCTGAAAATGCTTCATGGGTGGTTTAAAGCCTCCCCACCTCCTCTTCACTGCACTGTGCTCCAGGTTGGAGCATCAGAGAGGGGCAGAGGAGGGCGATTGTTTCCAAGAGAACCGAGATGGTGTTGAGCACTGGAAAATGAATTCCTGTCTTTTTTCTCCCCGCACCCCACGCCTTCCTGCTGCTTCTCCTCGTCTTCCTCCTCCAGTCTAAAGAATCCTCGTCTGTCTTGAGTTGTGACATTTCGGCGGATGACAAATACATTGTAACAGGCTCTGGTGACAAGAAGGCCACAGTTTATGAGGTCATCTACTAAACAAGAACTCCAGCAGGGCTGTCAAACTCTGGGAGAAAACGACTCGGCTCTGACAGGGAGACCCCCAGGCGAGGGGCCCTGAGGATGGCGGAGGATGGGCCGCAGGCAGCCGCGCGTTCAGGGCTGCGCTCCGGCCGGCTGAGAGGGCGCGTGCCCCATCACGATCTGGACTTCTGGGCCTAGATTGATGTGTCTCACAGACTCGGATGGGTTCTGCTCCTCCTCCTCCCCCTGAACAATGCTGGCAGTTGCTACAAATAGATTTATTGGAGGCTTATGGCTCCGGTTCCCCACAGACCCGCTCATGAGTCTCTTTGTTCTTCCCCTTTCTTTTGCCCTGTGCCCCACCTTGGGTCGGGGATGCTGGAGTGGACCACATTGTTGTGCTGGAGGAGGGGGTCTCTTTTTGCCGATTGTGCAGTGCACAAGTTTTGTGAAAAATGTAAATAACAGACTCCTATTGCGGACTGACCAGTGGGAGAGGCCCCTTCCCACCGGAAACTCTGACCGTGTGTTTCGCCTGCTGTATTTGTAATCCACTCGTGGTGGTGGCTTTTTTTTTTTTTTTTTTTTTTTTATCTCTCTCTTTTTTTTTTTTTTTTTTTAAATAAACAGATGTTCTCACCTGGGAAGAGGAGACAGGGAGAGGAACCAATTGAAGAACGAGGAGAAAAGTCTTAGATTGTGGAAAAGGCAACCAGGTTGGCCGCAAGGTACCTGCTGGAATGCCTGTCCGTCCACACGGGTCTGGGCATCTGGACTGAGCACCAGCCGGCCAGACTGAGGGATGGAAGGCACTGAGATGGGGGCCTGTTCGGGCAGACGCCTGCAGAAACAGAGCTTTCTGTGATCTCTTGCACTCTGGCTGCCTCTTGCCCTCTCTGTGTCTCTCTTTCTTGGTCTTTCCCTCTCTCCTCCTCAGCCTGGTCTTTCTCTTTGGTGCACACTTAGTTATTGTTATGAGCAATGGAAGTTCAAAGGAACTCCCTCTCCAGCTCTTCTGAATCTTGGGACACAGCCTAAAAAGGACAAAAAGTTAGAAGACAGCATAGCAACTCAGCTCAGGGAGCTACCAGAGAAAAATAGCAACTGATGTGGGTGCTTTTTTTTTTTTTTTTTAATTTGAATAAAAAGAATTAGAAGTGATGTCCTTTTATAAAATGCCTTCTCCCCCTTCCTGCCTACAGCCTCTTCCTCTCCCCTTAGAGGGGGGAAAGTGTTTAAACCTACAGGGTTGTGAGTCTGAAAGGAGGATCTCCCTCACCCCCGCCCTGGGCAGGGCAGTGGGGGTTGGGGGCTGGGAGAGGGGGACACAGATCTGGCACACTGTGGATATTTCTTGCAGATTGCAGTCTCTCGTGGCCCAAACAGGTTAGGTAGACTATCGCCTCTGGCAGGTGCCACCTTTCGGTACCATGTTCTGAGGTGTTAGGATTTGGGTTTTTTTTTGTTTCTTTTCCTTTTGGTCTTTTTTGTCTTATTCTTCTTTTAAAGAAAAGCTAAAGGCCGCTGTGAGTCCTGGTGGCGGGCTCTCCATGGATGTAGCATATCGAAGATAATTTTTATACCGCATTTTTATGGATTATTTTGTAATGCGTGATTCCGTCTGCTGAGGAGGAGGGAGGGGCTCCAGGGAACGCCACCCACCTTCAGTGAGGTTGCTCCCCAGCTGAGCGCACCGGGCATGGGATGTGGAGGCTGGCGCCACACCCTGTGCCTCTCCAAGGCTGGGCGCGTGGGGCATCCGGAGTCTCTCTGGGCCTCAGATGTCCGTCTGCCACCTCTTGCTAAGGCTCTAGCCAGAAGGGAGGGTGAGGGTAGAAGAAAGTTATTCCTGAAGAAAAAAAGAATGAAAAGTCATTGTACTGAACTGTTTTTATATTTTTAAAAGTTACTATTTAAAGGTTGGTTTGATTGTTGCGTCTTAATTGCCTCTCCCCCCAGTTTGTCAGTCCCCCCCGCAGGAAAACAGCCAGGCCAGTGTCGCTCTCACATTCTGGAGCCTGGGCCATTTCCCGTCCATGTGAGCTCTTCTTATCTCACAGCATTCTTACGCGCTGCTCCCCCCGCCCCCCAGATACCCAACAGCGCAGCGGGGGTTTCACAATCCCACACTGTGTCACCTCCCATCCAAGCGCCAGGGAGGGTGTGGGGTAGGAGCTAAGACTTCCTCTGGACAGATGGACAGGGCAGAGTTCACTGAGGGGAAGGAAGACCACAGGTTAACACCAAAGTATTGTACAGCTGTCAATGCAAAACTTTTTTGGAAAAAAATTAAATGTAATGAACTTGAAGCGAAACTGCAAAGTGTCTGTGAGCATCTGGACCCTGGAAACCTGCACCATTTTATTTTAAACTTAACATGTTTAGGTGGGACAAGGAGATCTTCGATCTCTAGTTCACAAAGGCGTGTTTTTGGATGATTCAGAAGGAAGCATTTGCAGAAGGGGCAGACCCAGAAATGCAGGTCATTGTCCCCAGGGAGGGAGTTAGGGGCTGGGAGGGAAGAGGAGAATGCTGGTGCCCATTCCCAGGGGCGGTACCCAGGCGCTTGGATTTCGTGCACCCATTAGCGAAAGCGCTCAGGGCACTGGAGATTAACATGATTTCCAACTCCTTATTTTGTCAAAGTCATTCTCAATCAGCACAATTGCCTGCTGTCATTTCATACAAGAAAGGGAATCTAACATTAAAAAAAAAAGAGGAATGACAATCTCAGCATACAGCCCAGTCTTTATGACTAGAAAGGACAGCTGGCCTCTCTCCACACAGAGGGGTCATTTAGCTGGAGAGGGAGGTCCTCTCAGGCTTATGGAGGAGACAAAGCCAGCAGGTAGAAGGGACCGGACTGAGGCTGCAGTGGGTTACAGCTCTGCCTCAACTGGTTGCAGGGGTGTGAGGAAAACGGTGCACCTTGGACCGTACCTTTCTCGTGTGTCCATCTCTAGGCAATGCAAGAGGGCTGGGAGGCTGGGAGCAGGCTCTGGCCAGAATAAGACTGTGTGTTTGTCAAGAGCATGAGGTTACCCATGGGTGCCAAGATCAGGGTGGAATTGGGGCTTGCAGGCCCAGGTTTGGGAGAAGAGGAAAATGTCCCTCAGGGAATACTCGCCCTCCAGGCTTGTCCTACTAGAAAGCAAGACCAGTGTTACTCTTTGAGGAGAGACTGAACCTCTGCAAGGCTGTTCACTGAGATTTCCTGGGCACAGTCAAGGATGGAGAGATGACCAAGATTCAGTCCCTGCCATAGAAGCTCACAGTTCGAGATGGGGGAGACAGTACAGCCCCTTCCTTCATTTGACCTGTGTTCCCACTGCTGCTGTCCTTAATGCCAGCACACTGCGCCTCCCCTGCACTGAACCTCTCACTGCACATGCTTCCTCCTGCTGCCTCTCCCCACCCACCACCCCTCCATTGCTTTCCACCCAACCCTGGCTGGCGGCACAAACCACATCTGGGAGCTGGTTAGAAATCTAGAATGAGCTCCCTCAGTCCTACCGAAGCAGAATCTACATTTTAACACGCTGCCGCGATTCCTGTGCACATCAGTATTTGGGAAGCATTCCAGTCTAAGAGAAGGGGCCCACTCCATGGTAAAGCTATTTCCATACTTAATCCCCCCACGTTACCCCCTTTTTACTTAACAGGATGACAGGAGGCCTTGATGCCATTTTTCTAGCCTTTCTTTGTCACCCTCTAAGGGTTCCTTTCCTCTTATGCAGAAATCCAGGCTTGTAGCAACCATAGCATTGACAACATGGTCCCTGCACCTATTTGCTTGTCTCTTCCCACCTAGACTAGCTTCCCTGGAGGGCAGTGCACAGGACCTCATCAGCCCAGGGCAGTGCTAGTGAATGATGAGCTTTCACCAGTTTGAGATTATCCTAATTCGCAGTGTCTGGTGTGATACCCAGGGCATCGGATGCTCAGTAACCGGAGCCCAGAGAAGGGAAATGATGTCTGGAGTGTTTTCAATTCTATTGTGCTGTTTTTGCTCAAAGCAATATATGTTTTTTTAAAAATGGAGGACCATAGTTGTCAGAGGCCAGGTTTAATGGTTTTAGTTCCCATCAAATTATAAACAAATGGGCTGGGCGAGGTGGCTTGTTCCTGTAATCCCAGCACTTTGGGAGGCCGAGGCGGGCAGATCACCTGAGGTCAGGAGTTTGAGACCAGCCTGGCCAACATGGTGAAACCCCATCTCTACTAAAAATATGAAAATTAGCTGGGCCTGGTGGCAGGCGCCTGTAATCCCAGCTACTCAGGAGGCTGACGCAGGAGAATCACTTGAACTCGGGAGACAGAGGTTGCAGTGAACCCAGATCATGCCATTGTACTCCAGTCTAGGCGACAGAGCACGACTGTCTCAAAAAAAATGTTTGGGTCATCTCTGGCAAGAGCTGAAAAAGCCACCCTTTCTAGCTTCCCTCTGAGCCACAGCACTGTTCCCTGCCCCCAGGTGGCCCCAACCCCAGCGTGGGCAGTAATTATGTAACTTGTAGGGTCTCTGAGAAGGTATGGAGACACAGAGATCTGGATGCTGGAGTGAGAAGAGTCCTTAGCAAACCTGCTGAATGTTAGATACTGGCCGTCAAATAGCCCATGATGATACAAGTGTAATTTTTTCCCCCGATAACTTATTCAGTGTTTACAAATGAGCATCATTTTTAATATAAAGCAAACAAATCTGAACTTTCAAAAAAAATGTATGATTAATGGAGCATTTTAAAACATTATACCAAAATTGGACCTTTCATATTTGAAGAGACATCTATACTAAGCCCAATTTTATAGATGGGGCAATTAAGTCCCAGAGAGGGCAAGTGACTTACCATGAGCAAGTGACTTACCGTGACTCACAGAGTCCAAGCCAACATTATGATGAAACACATCCCCCTCCCCTAAACCCTTAGCACACTCATTTGGAGGACAGAAAGCTGGGAGGGAGCTGCCCAGCTTATAGGACTCGATGTTGCTTGGAGGATAAATATCCAGGGAATGAGTCTTCCTGCTGCTCTACCAACAGGACTGGTAAGGAAATGACTCATGGAAAGGAGATGGCCCAGAACAGTCATGGAAACCAGCCTCCTGCCTCAAGAACTTCCTAGAACTCACCCACCCACCCATCTTGCCCAGCCTTCTATCCATCTATTTATCCACCCATCTATTACCTACCTGCACATTTATCCATACACCCCTTCATTCACTCTTCCATCCATCTGCCATCCTATTCACCCATCCATCCTACCAATGTTTATATCGTGAGAATCTAATATGTGCCTGGCATGGTTCTCGATGCTAAGATGCAAAAATAGTGCCTGCCCTCAGAGCTCTCAGCCAACTGGGAGAAAATATAGAAACTGACAATTCCCACTCCATGAGATACGTGAAGGTGCAAACCAGATGCCACCACACATAGCTGAAGCATTGACTTGAGTATGGAAGGGCAGAGCAAGAGGGTCCTGGAAGGACCAAGAGTTAAACAGAAGTGGAGAATACCATGGGCATGGCAATGAAAAGTTCAAAGAAAAGTGTTCCAGGTGGAAGGAACAGCATGTGCTAAGGCCTGGGGTAAAAGAGAGCACGGTCCCAACAATGCATCCCTACCTAACCCATGTAGTTCTTGCTCCTCCCTCCAGCTCCATCCAGCCTTCTTACGTCCCAGTTCTTGCTGCAACTTCCCCACCCCTCACCCCCACCAGTATCCTCCAGGCCAGAAGCTGGGCTAGGATTCTTGCTGAGCAGGCAGGTGAAACCAGAGGAGGGAGCTGGGCAGAGACCACAGTTCCAGCCTGAACCAGAAGAGGCAGCGGAATGGGGAGAAGATGGAGGGAGGCTGAAATTCCATGTCTGAGAATGCCCATGATAATGCCCCAGGGCTCTGAGTCCCTAACACAATTGGCATTAGAAGACCCGGGGATCTGTGACTGGATCATGGTGTATGATCAGTTCCTTACTTGGGTAATATACCTATTCTAAGCTCTCACCACACTCACACAGTTACCTTTATAAACTGCACATCTGGCCCCATCATTGCCCGGCTCGGAGCCCCTCACTGGCCCTCTGCACAGCACAACTCACCCTTAACTCATCCAGGTGTGGGCCCTGTATCTTTAAAGTCATCCCTCCCCACTTATCTTGTTTCCCTTCACACACCAGCAGCACAGTACTTCCAATGCCCTGAAAAGCAATGCTCTCCCATTTTAGGTTTTGCATGTGCTTCTCTTTCAGCTTGGAATGCGGTGCATCCTTCTTTGAATTTCTGCTCATTCTTCAGGAGTAGGCCTTAATGTCACTTCTTCCAGGAAGCCTTCCCTGACTGCCCACTTCCCTACTCCTTGGTGCTCTCAGAGTGTTCTCTCCCAACTTTAGGTAGCACATACCAAGCACAATGTTAGTATGACTACAGATGGTTCTACTTAGGACTTTCGATTTTATGATGGGTTTATTGGGTATTAAATGCTTTTTTTTTTTTTTTTTTTTTTTTTTTTTTTTGAGATGGAGTCTTGCTCTGTCGCCCAGGCTAGAGTGCAGTGACACAATCTTGGCTCACTGCAAATTTCACCTCCCGAGTTCAAGAGATTCTCCTGCCTTAGCCTCCCGAGTAGCTGGGATTACAGTGCCCGCCACCATACATGGCTAATTTTTGTATTTTTTAGTAGAGATGGGGTTTCACCATCTTAGCCAGGCTTGTCTCGAACTCCTGACCTCATGATCCACCTGCCTCAGCCTCCCAAATTACAGACGTTAAATGCATTTTTGACTTAGAATTTTTTCAACTTACAATGGGTTTATTGGGACATAACCCCACTGTAAGTCAAAGACCGTCTGTATTACTTTAATGATATGTTGTCTCCTGATGCCCAACTGACCCTCCCACCACACAGTGGACTCTCAGAACAGCGAC